TCCTCCCTTTAACTCGAGAACACCGACGTAATCGCCTTGAGTGGTGCAGACAACGGTCACTCTGGGATCAGGAATGGACCAGTATTGTCTTTAGTGACGAGTCTTGATTTTGTTTAGGCATGCCCGATGGTCGTGCCAGGGTTAGAAGGCGACGTGGTGAAAGGAGGAATCCACAGTTTTTTGTTGAAAGACATGTTCATCACACTGTTGGAGTCATGGTTTGGGGTGCTATAGGTTATGGTTCCAGGTCACCTTTAATCTTCATCAGAGGTAACATGATCGCGCAGCGTTATATCCACGAAGTTCTAGAACCCCATCTTTTACCCTACCTTGACACCCTGGCAGATCCAACTTTCCAACAAGATAATGCCCGACCACATGTTGCTAGAGTCACAATAGACTTCTTTCAACATAATGATGTCACATTGTTACCATGGCCACCAAGATCTCCCGACTTATCCCCAATTGAGCACGTGTGGGATATGATGGGTAGGAGATTGCTCAATTTGCAACGTCCTCCTCAGACTCTAGAAGCACTTAGACAGGAGTTGGTGGTTGCCTGGAATGAGATACCACAGGAGGACATTGACCACCTGATCAGAAGCATGTCTAGGCGCGTTGGAGGATGCGTAGCACATCAGGGTGCATCCACACATTATTAAAGGTCAAAGGGCTTTAAAGCAGTTCAATCATTTTGAAATTTTTATCATTTACTTATTATGCTTCATTAAGTACTTATACAAAATTTTATTAAAATAAAACCATTTAAACTGGGTGTTCGGATTTATATGTCACTTAGTTTATATAGAACGTTGTTCTCGAAAATTTCTCTTATGATTGAATAAAAATAATCACATGCTTCATTTACATCATTCATTTCACGAATTGGAGACCAATCTGCAATTAAAAATGCGCTGTACATATCAATATAATTTGCCCGCCGGAAATTGAATTTTTGATTATCACCAAACTAAAATCCTTGCATAGTGTCACTAATACAGAATTCGATTATTATAGCAGGATGATGCAAATCCTCCCTAACTAGTGGTAAGTCATTCCTGACCACTGCAACATTGAAATTAGCTAAAACTAAGTCTAAAAGTCGGCCGCTATGATATCTAACTTCGTTATAATTTATTTATTTATTACATGCCTATGGCCGCCTATTCACAGCTTTGATTTTGGGAAAAATGTCACGAATAGTCTTATAAGGCTTAGTAGAGTATATTCCAACAGTTGGCGGAACTAACTCCACTGGGACTAGGAGCGTGAAACGGGATATTAATGCACAATCTGGCAACCCTGTCGCACCCTCACAAAATGGTCGCTGATAACCACACAAGTCAGGTGTTGTTATTGAATAGCATGGAATTAAACCTTGAGAGTATAATATGTTTTGTGACTGGTAACAAGAGTTGACAGACCCCACACATGTGTCACTCCTTGAAATACAATAATCAGCTGTATTCAAATGATGTCTAATATAAATATAACCGAGATAACGTCAAAACGATTCAAGTCATATTTTTTAATCGTTCCAATACATTCCACTGATCGCAAATGTATTCTCCCATCACTAACATTATGAGACACTAATTTCAAATGTCAATTCCGATCTCCTTTGGTCTATTCTCCTTCTCCATTCTATGTTTTGTGATCACTTGTTTTGTTATGTGTGAACAACGGAATTTTTTAACAACAAATTTCCGTATAAAAGTGCTCCAAGATTTTTTTGTGAAGAACTACATATTACACTGTCGCGTACACGTTAAATCTGCACTAACCCCTAAATACGTGCTTATGTTGAATATACCATGTACCGTCACCGATCGTGCGACTGATTGTACACTGAAATTAAAACAAAAAACTGCAACTGCAATTGTATGTATGAATGTTGAAACTGTTGAACAGTTTCGGACCAGTGGGATTAAAATATCGTTGAGGAACTGGAAAGAAGTGTATGAATGTGTTGAAATGCAACACCTAACAAAAATTTGAGTGAAAAGGCTTTTTCATGTAAGGATTTGGAAGTGCAAGTTTGCAAATATAGGATAAACTATAAGCACACAGTAGGTGATATAATCACATATGGATTACAAAAGTTGCAGTAAACATGGAAAAACCTTCAGCTAATCTGAAAAAATAGATTTTACTCAGACATCAAGCATTTTTAAAAATGTTGGCTCAGTTTCACATAATTTCATAATATTTAATAAACTGAAAAGATTTCAATGGCAAGCTGTCACTTAATATTTTACAGTGTTTTGTTTTGAATACCTTGATGCTATTTGCTGCCAAAAATTTGACGGAGAGGGTGGTTGGGTATATTTAACGGACTCTTTGGTACTCGTACCCTATTGGTGCAGAATAATGGTTTGCTAAATTGTGAAATCCACCCTAAACCTAACACTATACCACCTAGCCTTCGAGTACTGCTCACATGAGTGGGGTCCTGCCACCCCGACGAAACTGTCCATGGTCCAGGCTGTTCAGAGGAAGGCTGTCCGACTGATCGACGACTCTTGTCTAACGGACAGTCTCGGACCCTTTCGCACCGACGAGCCTTCGCGATCTAGCTCTTTTCTGCCGTGACATCAACGGGCTTCTCTTGCCTGCGAGGCACAGCCGTCTGACTTCGGCCTCCCATCCTAACCATGACGAACTTCTGACCGATACGACCGCTCCATTGTCCCTCGGGTATCGAGATTATGGAGCAACCTACCTGAGTAGACTTTTCCTAGTTCTATTAACTGTGGGCAGTTGAAAAATCGGAATAATAAAGTTTCTCTAAGCTCCTCATAGCTCTCCGGGTGCCTTGATTCAGGCTTCTGCATGCGCGGTTGCTTAGGTATAAAAAATATACATATTTCTCAGAACAGAGGCTTGTTATACGTTATTCCTACACATTCATTAGTGTTTCCGACAAACGAACAGCTGTAGTAGGAGGCGCTGAATGCGGAATTGCGGGCGTGGAAAAATTTAACGATGTTCTGCCAATGAGACAACCCGCCCTCTGTTCAAAAATGTATTTGCTTTCACCCGATATTCAGTTTTGCAGTGTGAACGGATCTAGCGGGAACGAGATCGGACACAAAAACATTGGTCGAACACTGCTGCAGGTACTGGAAATAGCACGTTTCAGTGCTACGTCAAAATTTATGGGTGAAAGATCACGTATAGTCCAGGAACTAGCGTATAGCATCTTGCAAAAATTGGATCAACTTGGCTTCCGTCTCTGCAACCATTGGGAGCTTTTAGTGCACCTAAAATGACGGATAATAATAATAAACCTTACGCTACAGTATTTTTACAGCTATTTGAATTTGGATATCTTGAAAAACAAAAGCTTTTGTGATAACTAAAGTGAAACCCGGTAATTTGACAGTACTAATATCCTTGACTGGTTTCTTTTTTTATTTTGACGTTTAGTTAACATCAATACTTCGAAACCTTGTTAGTTTTTTCATAAAAAAGTTTCGGTAATATTTATGTCGAAGCCAGAAATCCATAGGTTCATAGTTATAGAACCACAGAATGCACGGTATCCATCTGTGATATAAAACTCATATTTCTATCATGCCTTAATATGCTTTTATAGCTTGAAATTAGCTTACGCAGCTTCATTAAATCCGGCAATAAAGCTAAATAAAGTAAAAATTACTCCGTAACTAACGGAGCTCTCTTATTTCTATAAAGGGATAACGTTAATGTTACTCGAAAACTAGGTTAGTCGGTAGATATGCGGGTCTTTTTGTACCTTGGTTTTTGGATGCAAAGCGGCTTGGGCGCCACGTAGTTTCAAAAACTAGGAAATAAAGTGTCAAGTAACAAGGTTGCGTCTCTGGAGCTAAGCAGACACAAACTCACAAGGCACATCGACATTTATCGAAAAAAAAAAAATAAAAAAATTAAAGAGACCTGGGTAAGAATATTAGTTTGCATTAGTGACCGACCGAATCTTGATGTTCAGCCGAAACCGAAACCGGAACCGAACCTTCGGCTTCCGTCCTGGTTTCGGCCGAAACCGAAACAGAAACTTTCCTTTGACTTATGGACAGCAGCGGTGGCCGAAGTAGTAGACTCTTCGGTCTCCTGATCAGTCGCCGTGCGCTGTGCGGGTTGGAATCCCGTCCCAGGAGAAATTTTTCTCTTTTCTATGGATGTTGTGATTGTCCGTAGGTGGTAGACGGTATCTGACTGTCGAACGCGGAGGTACCACCCGACGGATTTCGTAGGCGGGGCCAGAATGTGTGCATGTTGCATGCACACGTGTTCCCTCGCCAGAGTCCCTGTGGCGTTCCCCCTGACCCCTGTATCCCCCTGTAGCCCCACAGTACCCCATGGGTGTTTAGGCCTTAGGCCTTCGTGGTAGTTGGAGTATAAAAAAAAAGAATGAGGATGTACATGATTCTTCGATTTTAGAGGTTTACGAAGTTATTAAAGGTCTTTGAAAACGTATCTCCCATAATGTATGTTTTTCTTGTTCAGTAAGGTTAGGTACTTGAAAAAACACAAAAGTTAATTTTTGAAATAAAAGAATGTATTCCATTAACATGTTGGTGGTTGAAATACTAGAATAATATAACAAAACGAATCATAAATAAATATCTATTATCTATTACATTGCACTTATATGAAAACAAACATGTATGTCCTGTAACTTCCATAAACATCACCAAAACAACTAAAAGCTTTTTACTCAAAATAGATTTTCTATATAGAAATTGACAATAAACTAGTAAACATAACCAAAAAGCCTTATATTATATGATAAAAAAGTAGCTTTTCCGCATTTTCTCCTAGCAAATTGCTTCGCCGATCTGCATATATTTGCCCAGCAGCACTGAACATTTGCTCGCTGGGGATACTGGTCGGTGGTGCAGACAGGTATTTCAACACCGCTTTCCTCAACGTCGGATAGGGGCTGGAGTTCCAATAAGAAAATATATCGGCATTCCGCTGTAGTCGCGGCTCCGACAAATAGCACTCGATTGTTTGTTTTAGTATAGAAGTTTCATCATATCCATTATTATCACATGGTGTACCGCCGGGGTTATCGTCATGGGTATCCCAAAGACTTTCGTCTTGTTTCTGAATATTGGATCAACCAGTACTGGTTCTGCAGAAGAAGAAGAATGAATAGCATTTCTGTTCACCGCGCTGTCGCTACTACATCTGATCAAAAAAGGTACAATTTCTGTGATTCCGATGTCAACAGCATTGGTAGTTAGATACTTCGATTTGAAACGTGGGTCCAGCAATGTTGCTGCAATTAACGATGGATGCTCTTTCAAGAGGGACATTCTTTGGTTCATTGTCTCATATAACCGATTTTTCGTCATTGTCATACCCTCATCTTCGTTTTCCATTCGAGCTTGTAATTTCCGATTGAGTAGCGATATTAGGGGTATGATTATAGAAATACAAGCGTCATTCAATGATAAATCAAGGGTGGCTTCGTAAAAGAACTTCAATACTTCGACGAGTCGCTTCATAATTTCCCATTCGGTGGGACAAAGGGTATCTATTTTACCATGCTGAACAGTGTAGAGGTTTATAGCATTTTTTTGCTCTAACAGCCTCTGAAACATCAAATAGGTACTGTTCCATCTTATATCAATACTTTGAACCTGGCAGCCCGCATTGGATTTGGCATTCTTTCAATTTTCTTGTCGCTGGTTCACTGTGGTGGAAATGGCCTACTATCTTCCGACATTTTTTTATAATTTCTGTGGTGTCTTCATCAGCAAATAACGATTGCTTGATCACTAATTGCAGCGTATGCGATACACAGCCAAGAGACTCATAGTGTCCTGTCCGCATTGCACATGCCATATTTGCGGCATTATCACGCAACACTAAAAAAATCTTACAATTTAAGTTCCACTCATTGATCATTTCCGTAAATTTTCGTTCAATGTACTGACTAGTATGGTCTTGTTCCATAACAGCTGCGCCTAATATAACTTTCAGGCGTTGATGCTCTATAATGAAATGACCTGTGAGACTGAGAAGGGAACATGATTTGCTAGTGTTGGTCCATATGTCGGCAGTCACACTTAACCAATCGGATTTTGCGATTAATTTTTTGACTTTAGCCTTTACTCGTTCGTAAGTTTGCGGCATTAATGTTGTTCGGAAAAATTTTTCACTCTTCAGTCTATATTTATGAAAAGCATCAGGATCAGCAAAATTAAGTCTTTGGAATGCTTCACCACTGACCAACGAATACGGCAACATATCGACAATCATCAAATCCATAATCGCTTTGTCTATTCTCCGTGAAATTTCATGATCATCTGGCCATTGTACACATTTAGGTCTAGCCAAACTCGGAATGGTCGACTGGACCAGGGTAGGTTGATTACCCTTATCAGTTTCTAAAACCGCTAGAGAGACTTTAGTTCGTTTTTGTATGTTTAGTTCATTTTTTATGTTCTCTAATTCAGACTGCCGCTTTAAAACTTGTCTGTGTTCTGTGCCATGGAACTTACTTAAATGCTGCTTCACTCCATATAGTGTTTGTTTTTTGGGTTCTTGACTTCCTAATGAGAGCGACTTTTTGCAGATTTTGCAAACTGCCTTAGATAAATCATTTGTGCTCTTTTCAAAAAACTGCCAAATAGGATTTCTTTCTCTTTGAGACATTTCTATCTGAAACAGATAATTTTCAGTTTTCACTCGATAATCAAGTATAAATTGAACTAATATTATTGATCTTCATTCTAATTATTGATTAATTACAGTAAAGTTTTATAAGCTTTTCTTTGCTGTTACTGAGATAATTGTGTAATATTCTACGCGTATGACCTACTGCAGAACCTGCTGAAAACTGATGATTTATTACTCTCCCTCTTATTTCGAAATAGAAATTATCAATAATTATAATATAGTATATCCAGAATACATAATTACTAAATACTTACCTTTATTTAATACGCACACTACCTAATAAATGTAATAAATGCGTGACCAGCTTGTCGGCGAAGATCAAGTGACGTGATGAAACGCGTACGGACACGAAGCGATAGCCCGACTACAACCGGACATATCCCGAGACCTTACGATCGTATGTTTCGGCCAAGCCGAAAGTTCGGAACTTCGACCGAAACCGGTTTTTTGGCCGAAACTTGGCCGAAACCGAATCCGAAACCGAAACTTCGGTCGGTCTCTAGTTTGCATTACCTCCCTAGCTAAATGGTTTCCTGTAAATATTAAAGTATAAAAGAACATCTATGCAGGTGTTTGGCTATCAACGGTAGGCAACCGAGAGCATGAAGTCCCAAATGTAAAATAAAGGTAGAACCCGAAGGTAGAACTGGAAGGTTCACAAAAATGGGGAACTGCTTCTCACAGGCGTGAGTCCTACTTAAATTACCGTCGGATTATCCCTCAGCTCGAAGATTGAGTTAAATTGTGTCCATGCCTAGATCCCCAGGAGGGTCAGGAAAAGGCTCCGACAAAAAAAATATCACAGAGAAGGGCCGATTTCTAACAAAAACCCACCACCCTATAAATCCGTAGCTCTGCGAGTAAAACATTCACTTGCACAAAATCGGGTAGTGGGCCGCAGAATTCCTACACCAGAAATAATGATAATAATAATAAGTCGTCTTTATTTACGGGGTGAAGTTTAGTATAATGCTACCCAAAAAAAAAAACTGAAAAAGCAATACAAATAACATAACTACATTTGATAAGTTAGAGGTTTTAAAAATGTAGGTGTATAAAAAATATGCTGTATATAACATATGCAAGTGAAGGCTATTCAATATTTCATGACCTAAAAGTATAAAATTTTAACAGTTATACAAAACAAAGGAACGCTATATTAGAAATGTTTTTGTATGAGTTGACAGATAAATTTTATCATACTAATTTATATACTTCTATTCAAAATAAACTTCTTCATATGTCTTTTAAATTCATCATATGATAGCAATTTCGTGGATCGAGGTAGATCATTGTAAAAAATAATTGCGTTGTAGGTGAATCATTTACGAAAGAATGATGTCCTGTGGTGGGGCATTGTGTGTTTCAGTGAATGTCCCTAGAATGGAAATTGCTTCTATATATATATATATATATATGATTGCACAAACTGGTGGGCATAGAGTCATGAGTAAGATGAACCTTTTATATATCATCAAGTGGTTCACGATGTAATGTTTAACTTTCGTTTTAAGTATTTTTAATCTGTTTTTAATTTGTTCTTGCCATACAGCTGTGTGTAGTTTGTATAATTTTGACTATTCTACCATGTATCCAGCTTTCACCAGGTTACTGGGTGTTTCCCTCATCTTTAACGTAAATAAGATTTAGCAACATCCTCACATACTACTCTCCTGATGATGATGGCAAAGACCATTGAAAGCTAGAGAGATTAAAAAAGTATAAAGAGTCCTCCTTGCTTAAATTTTGTCGAAGTACCCAACAAAAGGCGGAAGCTTTAATTTTTCACCTAACTGGTCTAGACGACAATGACCACGTCTCAAGATATATATATATATATATATATATATATATATATTTTAATTAATTAAATGCTTTTTCATATCATAAACCTCGCAACTCGACAGATGCCTAAAATATTGCTTCTATCACTTCTATGCTGATGATACACAGCTACATATAACATATGAAGGGACTGACATCGAAAAAGCATGTGATCAATTGAATGAGGACTTAAAAACCTTAGCATTGACATCTGAGAAGTACTGTCTAACACTAAACCCTTCGAAATCAGTGTTGATGTTCTTTGGCCGGAGTAAAGTTCGAAACAGCTGCATAAAAGTAAATATTAGCGTAAAACATGAAAACATTATTCTAACAATATGTGCACCAAGATTGTTCACTCAGGTTCTCAGAGCATGCCACATCTGTGTGGAAAAGAGGATACAGTAATCATAAAATCCTGTATATAATTGTATACGTATCCTCACACAGCAATCGAAGAAAATTCTGTTAGGGGCTTTAGTGTTTATGCCATGTTTATGTAAACGCAACTATTATGGATGAAATATCGACGGATCTTGCATTCAATTCGTATGTTTCATAAGATCATCGCCAAGCAAACTCTTGCTTATCTGTATAACAACATTCCTTACAGAACAGACGTTCACATCCTCAGCCTGCCTTACAGAAATTTAATTTATTTTTCCAGATTCTGTATATAGTTTCTCAGAGGTTCTTTTCTTACAATCTTGAACGGCTGTAAAATGGGGTATCGATTTGATACAGGAGTTTGTCTTTGAATCTATTTAAAAAAAAAACAGTTAAGCGTCTTCTATTGGCTGATGATTTTACAAAATTTAACTCCTTTTTCTGTGTATACAACAGTTTTCCATTTCTGTTTTTCTTTAACTCTTTTTGTATCAAGTTTCCAGTGGCGACGCGTCACTTTTCCTAAACTGTTACCAAAACCAGATGTGAATAATCTTATTGAAAAAAGTTTATTTTGAACCTCCCAAATATAAGTTTTTGCTTTTCTTAGGTATTTTATTGAAACTATTTTTAAATTAAGGTAAACATTCCTGGATTGAGCGTCTGGGGCATTTGATATACCTCATGCTATGACTAATCTAAGCCGCCCAAAAAACCAGTCGACGTTTCTAGATGTTTGGAAATTTTTTTATTTTTTTTGGCAGTGAATGTTAACAATTCCCTGTAATTTCCTCTATTGTCAGAGTCATCCCTTCAAAATGTACGGTAATTCCTGTTTTGCCAAAAAACATACGTATCTAGAAGTGTGCTGCCTAAAAGCTTGGTTAAGACAACTTTCGATTCTTGATTTGCCAAACTGAATTAAATTGGCTAGACATCTCACATTTAAAGGAGAAATTTTATGTCCTCTCTTTAGAGCCCTAAAACTATTTAAGGTGTTGACTCCGCTGCTGGCCCACCCATTTTTTTCTTTATAAAACAGATGACATCGCCAGCAATACAATCTGTCTTTTTTGCCACCATATAACCAAGAGTTTCCATATACCAACTTGATTTAAAATATCAAACTACGTTTTTTATTCCTCTTTAAAATTATCTAAAATAGGTGTTGGTCTTCCATCTTCAATGATCTGCTTTTTTTTCTTAAAAATTATACAAGGAGAATGACTGGAAAAAATGGTAACGAGCCCACATAATAGTCGCACCGCCCCACGCACTTGGGCGACCGCGATCAGACACGAGCCGGTACCGACGGTCCCCGACAGACTACCAAGTGTATCCATAAATGAAAATGGTAACAACCGACAACCAAGTCGAGGCGATCCAGCTTCATCGTGTTCACAGATCCTAGACACTATAGGGCGCATTATTTTCGTGGGACTAATTTGATATGTACTGAAACTATTACATATCGCTGTTGGTAAACAAATAAACGAACTTATTTCACAGTACTTAGTCATAAAACATGTATTTTTAAGATTTTTAACTGTTACCAATGGTAACAATGGTTACATGCACGCTTCGCCACTGCAAGTTTCTTGGTTGTAAGGTGTCACGGTAAGGTCTAGGTGAAGAATTATCGTATAATTTTTTTCGGTTGAATGGAACAGCGGATCTTTCTAGACGGTACTTTAGATCCGAATTCTACCATTTGTCAGGAAAACAGATACAATTTGTTGAAGTTCTATGCATTTCTTTGTGTGATTTTCTTGACAATAAAAACCATTCCTTATTATTATCATTTTTATTTTAGTGATACGTGAATCTACATAAAAAATTAATGTTAGTTTGCTTCATAAACTACGGTCCAAAAATGTTTCCTTACGAAAACTCGGGGTGTTGAAGTTTTAGGAAAAAAATGGAAATTAATTAATATTTTCAGTACCGCTTCATATATTTCACTGATATTTAGTACGTAGTGAAAGTTAATAAAGCTGCATATTTTTCAATGCAAAAATAATGTTTAGCTATATCGTTTTCGAACATGCGTGTGTTAACTGGGACATTATTATCCTCATATCCAGCTTACTTTTTGCCTCGAAGAGTCCACCTTCAGTGTGGTCTTTTTTCTCAGCTATACGGGCGCTTTCTTGCAAATACCTTAGTCAGACGAAAACCTCGATTGATTGGTCAACAAGAAGGCCGACTACCCTGAAGAAAATGATCGTAGCATCGTTATAACGACAGGCACAATCTGGTGGCCAAGCAAAAAATTTCATCACACCTGACGCATTTCGCAGAAATCCTTCGGAAATGGCTGAAGGGAATAAAAACTGTCGGGAGAAATAAGTGCGTCAGGAATCCTCGAAGCGACTTGGATACTGATTTATTCTGCAGAACTGCCAATAAAATGACACCTAGTAACGGGAAACGACACTTGCCTTCTCTAAAAGTTCATCTCCGGTATACTTGCAAGTCAACGGCGTGCCGTCCCTTACATCGTGACGGGAGCATGAAACCACACATGTTTCCAATAAATAGTAGTAATATCGTAGTGATTATTATTTGTCTCCAAAATACACATAATAATAATAATAATAATAATAATATTTATTCACTCAATGTACAAAGATAAATACAAGGCATCGCCTGTACATGGACCAATAAATTTAAGTTGAAACTGTAGAATGCAAATGACAAAAAAGGACAAAAATTAGCGACAGTAGATTATGTATTTAGTTGATGTTCGTATTTATGAGTTTATGAATTTCAGTCCTAGATATAGAATGTAGCCACTTTTTTAAATTTCTTTTGAAACAATTTCCGAAACGTAAATCTTTTAAGTCTTTAGGTATAATTTCATAAAATTTAGGCGCTAAATAGAGATATGATCGCTGCATTATAGATTTATGCGGTTGAGGAACTACTGTGCCACGAATTTTGTACCTGGTATAATCATTATGTTTAATTTTTTGGTCGGTGTTTACAAATTTATGGTAGTGAGTGATACTGTGTAAGAAATAAAGCTGTCTTATATCATGCATTCGAACATCTGCGTATAATTTTTCAGTGGGATAAAGTTTCGGTTTTTTAAATATCATTTTTAGAATACTTTCTTGATAAACATCTAAATTATAAATATGTGAGGAACATGCAGCTACCCATGCTAATATACCATATGTGAGATGAGGCTCAATCAGCGCATGGTATAATGTTCGAAGATATTTTTCTGTCAATATATTCCCAAGGTATTTAATTTTGTAGGATACAAATCTAACTTTCTTTAAAATATAATTGACATGGATGTCCCATCGTAAGTGAGGATCCAAGACCACTCCAAGGTATTTTATGTTGGGCACTCTATTAATTTTTTTGATCATTAATATTGAAGGAGAAATTTGTGTAATTTGGCAGATGTCTAGCATAAGATCCAAATGGTAAAAAATGTGTTTTAGAGTAGTTAATGCTTAATTTTCTACTGTTAAACCACCGAATAATT